ATGGCACATAACTAGGAACCTTTGAAGAAACAGGTGTAGTGGAATTCAATAGAGTTCTCTGACCTGGTTTCTAGTAAATGCAATAGCTTCAAGAGAATACCTCCCCTTGAACACATGTCTAAATTTAGTCCACCATTCATCAATAATGCTCGTCACGCAACCCTTGTCCCGAACCCAAATGAGCAGCCATCTTTTCAATAATTTTCTAGAACAAAATAAAATTCATATATGGGTCCTCAGTCCAAGCATAAACCAAATCAAGAGCAGCAGCCAAGGCTTTCCATGGCCCAACGAATGAGGGTCCTAATTACACGATGGGGAAAGAAACACAGTAAAATGAATGCAGTGAATCAAGCAAAGGAAATATGCTAATGCTTTCATAAATTGGGACCGACACACTTACCTAGACCTTACACGACATTGGGTTTCCTCGCCGTCGTAATTGATGGACTACTTTGTGGGTGGCATCTCTATACTACAAACGCAATGTGGATAGGAAGACCAATGCATCGAAGAATTCAGTTGCCTATAAAGAACACATTACCTATACCCAATGCAATTTCATAAATTAGAGGTAGGGAGATGGATTTGTCACAGCATAGCGATTGGTGAATGTCCGACGGCACTAGTGAATCTGGTCGGGACTCGATTCAAGCACTAATACCGCTGGATTGAGGGTGAGTTGTCCAGTTCTCATCGACGGAAGGAGCTTGGGATGTTGCGGAGGAGGTTTGTCAGCTGTCTAGGTGGTGCATGTCCACCGGCGAACGGTGACAGGTGTGGATTGATGGTGAGTTTTACACCCTTCTTCGACAAGAGGAGATTAGGATGGTCGGGAGGCAGTTAGACGGTTGTAAGGTCCGGCGAGAAGATTTGGAGAGACAACGCAGGTTAAACAATTAGCGGACCGGAGTACAATTTGGGCCCGTCAAGAACTTTTTGCATCCGTGGCGGAAAATGAACAATACTCTCTCTTTCTTTTTTTACCCCTCCAAAAATTGCTCTGGATGCAAGTATTTTGAAATGGGGAAGTACATTTTCCATTTCACTATTATATTAGGCGTAGATAGATACATTACATGCATCAAGCGACTCATTCTACAATGCAATGACTTATTATGATTCTAATCAAATTGTTCTAACATAGTTTTCTATCCTCCTAACGTACATTTACTGGATAACCATGGGTAACTGCTACCCGCATCATGTAGTTAATGGGTAACCACTAACCGCACACGGTGTGGATGTGGTTAGTATATCCAACCTTTAAGCGGGTATGGGTAACTGCACAAAATGGTGCAGGTAACTGTAACCGCAGTACCAGCCCTAACTCGAAGGTGAAGATTACCGCAGACAACATATCATAACAACTAACCCAGGCATAATCGTGTTTGCGGTTCAATTAAGAACGGATTAAGAAAAAACTACACATGTTTTATTAGTTTGCTTTGCATAACAGGGAATATCCCATAAAGGAAATAAAATGAATGAAAGTGACTAGCATGTAAGCCTTCATTTCATGAATTTGAGGCAAGGAAATGGGTTCGTCAGAACCTGTACTATTGGTGCATGTCTACCGATGCAAGTTAACCTTGTGGGGAGTTGATCGTAGTAGTGATACATTGGATTTAGGGTGATTTGTACAGCTTTCCTCAGCAGGAGGAGATTAGGATTGTGAGGAGGAGGTTATCCGGGTGTCGAGTCTTATAGAAAGGTTTGGAGAGACCACGATGGTTGAGCATTTAGTGGGTCGGGGCACTATTTGGGTATGTTTACCTTAGTAGCGCATTTTTCATCCGCATTCGTCAAACCAAGAATACTTTACATTTCCTAATTTATCCCTCCAATAATTACTCTACCGTAACAATAGAGGTTGATAAGGTTAGTTTGTTGTTTAGTTCGGTGGGAAGGTTTGGAGAGACGATGATGGTTGAGTGTTTGTGGGCGGGGGTACTATTTGGGCTCGCTTACATTAATAGAGTCTTTTCCATCCACGTTCAGCAAACCAACATCACTCAACCATTCCATATTTAACCTCTCCTAATGACACATGTGCCTCATATCCACTCAAAATTTCTGTTGTATTGTTGCTTTATGGTAGTTATAAAAATGAAGTTTATGTTAAGAATTTTACATTGTTTCTTCACATTCAATGCTACAATTCGATATGAAATATTTGAACTAATGACATTGGGCTCATTTTAAAATTATCCTCAATGATAAGATAAACAGAAAAAATGAAAATAGAAGTATCAAATACCAAAAAAATATTTACGGAAGAGTTAGTAGACCTAACCATAGTGGAAAAGTCATGTGATTTTTTAGATTTTACCTTCTTGTATGTTTTTAATTTAAAAAAATCTAACAAAATTATTTACCGTAATTGGTTATGTGTATTATCTTTTTTTGAAGAGACCATGGTTCAAATCTCATTACTAATGTAATTTTTCTTGTTAATAAGAAAATAATAAATGATTGTGAAGACGAATCTACCCTTCCTACTTTCGTACTAGATGAAGGGATTTTGAAATGGAGGAAACACTAGGGAAGGCAATTTGAACCTTGCCCAACCTGACCCGCAATGGGGTGGGCAATACCCGACCCGCAGTAGGCTGGAACGAGGCATGGGTATCTACATCCGACCTGCCTCATTCTTCCTCATTCTATCTCAATTTCTTACAATATATATTCATATTTATCAATGTTTTGACTTTCATTCAACTAGTTATACTTGATCTTTCAACTGGTTCGACTCAGTTACCCATTCTATTATCACTATTTTTCATTTATAAAGTGTGTTTCTTTTTGTTTATCATAAAAGGTAAAATTTTGCGAGCATATTTTTCAAATAACATGTAAGAGTGGGTCGACCCGCACCATCATGTATCCGCGTGGGTACTACCTTCCCCGATCCGTGTTTTGTACAGGATTGGTATGAATATTAACTACCCGGCCCGCCCGCCCCATTGCCATTACTAGGAAGCGTGCGAGTACTACCTGCTCTGATCCGCACTTGGTGAGGGGCGGGGTATAGATATTGGGGTACCTGACCTGCCCGCCCCATTGTCATTACTATGAAGCACCTTCCCCATTTGAATTATGTGTAGATGTAGATACACAAGTCGGGATAGGGGAAACAAATGAAAATTTAGGGTTCGTAAGTCGTTTACTTTAAGGAGTTCGTGATGGATTTGGACTCTAAATCCATCACTTCAAAGACTTAGGAAAAAGTCATTGTTTGCTTGAGGTATTTATGGAGATCAAGTCCATGGGGTCCACACACTTTTTGGGGAAAATTCGTGGGCTCCACGGATTTCCAAGTTCCAGTTCCATAGGTGGGTTTTTGGCAAGGATTGAAAATCGTACCGTACCGGCAGTTCGACCAGAAAAACCTCTTATCATAGGCTAAACCAGTAGGTGGTATTTAGTTGTTGAACCATGGTTAAACCACGGTTTTAACTTAAAATACCCTACCGCTGACTTTTCCATTACAACCTCCGGTATGGTATTTCAATCCTTGGTTTTTGGTGAATTTAGTTGTTGAACCATGGTTAAACCACAGTATGGACCGACGGCGTGGTCAGTGGCGGAGCCACTTGGAGAGGAGGGGGTGCTTGCACCCCCTTGGGTTTGGAGAAAAAAATTCCCGAGTAGGGGTATATACAAATTCGAACTAGTGACCATTCAGTTGCAGGAAGAATTTCTTACTATCTCGACCGAGTGAGTTTTGTTATGCAATGCACTTTCGTCTTTATTTATAGTAATAAATTGTTGTCTTTTGTTTAAACTCGCTCATTTCTTTTGTAGCTCTACAACAGAGAAATTTCTTGTCTTTTGTTTAAACAAAGCTGAAAGTGAATAGGTACCAATTGAAGTTCACTTGTTTGTTTCTCAAAATCAATTCCAAGGTACTTCTGAGTTCTAATTTGTAATATTTGATGAATGGAAGTCTTGACTTGTATATACTGAACTTATTTGTTTGACGTTGTAACCGGTGTATGTGAAACTATTTTAATGTAATTGTATGAATTTAGATTTTAGAGTATTCGTTGTTGACTTTTTGTTTCATTTAAGGTTGACTTTTTATTTTATATATGATTTTTTATGATATGATAAAGACACCCTTTAACTAATTTTCTAGCCCCGCCACTGACTAGGTAGCCTAGTCAAAAAAATTGCAGCCACAAGTAGGGGTGTTAGTCGGTGCGGTTTCGGTTTAACCGCACCGAAATATCGGTTAACCGCAACCAAAATTGTCCCAAAATCACTAACCGAAACCGACAGAGACTTCGGTTAACCGAAAACCGCAAACATCGGTTTCGGTTTTCCCTTGCGGTTAACCGAAACCGCAGGTTCTGGTTCACTTTCTCGGTTTTCGTTCAGAAACCGACCACCCAAAATCGAATTTCAACCACCTTTTTTAATGATTCACCCTCAATTTTGAGTGACCTGCTTTTGTTTCAGCCTCTCTAATCACACACCATAAAGTCATCTAAATCAATTGAACATAAAGCCTAAAACAACCACACAATTCAACCACAACTCCACAACATAAAGTCTACATGCCCACAATTCAACCACAAGTCACAATCACAACAAGACACAAATAACAAGTTCGTTATCTCCAAATCATTAACCTAAATGATCCGAGGGTCTCGCTCCAATTCATCTAGCCCATAGTCATAATTTACTCCAAGATCTTCATCTAGCCCATAGTCATCAACCTAAGGTTCACTCTATCGAGTGCAAAGGGGATTTAGAGAGGGGTGACTTTCGAGTTCTAACTCTTAAAAATATTTGAGACTCTTGATGGAGGGTTGTTTGCAATAGGTGAGAATTGGGATGTTTGGAATTGCAACTTTGATTGGTTTTGAATCTTACAACTTTCTCCCTTAGCCAAAGTAAAAAACCATGTAGGCACACTAGTAGGCGGTTATCGGTTTTCTTATCGGTTAACCGTTAACCGATTAATCGTTAGCGGTTAACCACTAACCAAAATACTACTAACCGAAACCGAAATCAATAAGAAAGTAGCGATTATCGGTTAAAACCGATAACCGACTAACCGTTTATCACCCCTAGCCACAAGCTTCTCCGTTGGTCTTCTTCTTCCGCCAAAAGGTTCTCCGCTGAGGCGGTTTTATTTTTGAATTGTTTTTAACAATTTCAGGACCATATTCGTTTGTATTATTAATAATTTCATTATCTACCTGATAACAACGCAGTTAGACCGCTGAAAAAGAAAGCAGAGAATGTTGTCAAAGTTCCAAATTGCAGTCGATAAAGCGAGGATGTTGTTTCTGGGGGCCAGGAAAACGCAGGGCTCGTTGTCTCCTTTCACCCAGTGTAGTTTCAGCAGCAGCGCCAATATGGTGGAGCATCAGTCTTCGTCTTCTAAAGTTCAAGCTCTTTACGAATTATGCAAGTCCACTTTCTCTTCCTCCGGCCTTCCCCCACCTTCCTCTGCCGTCGTCCAGAAGATTTGCTCTCTTTTGGGTATTCCTTCCTCCCTTTCTACCTCTACCTCTTTCTTATGGGTTCCTTCCCTTTTCGCTCAATCTCGTTGTTCGTCCTAAAGTAGCAGATTTTTCGTGTTCTTGATCAAGTTCGTGGCATTTCCTGAAATGGGTCCTTGAATTTTTGCTTCGTTTTGAAGCTCAGTGTGAAACTGTATCCGCAGTGCATAAATTTGCTCGTCAGAATCCTTTGGTCATTTCCACTTGTATTGGCTCTTAAAGGCTTTACTTTCTACTCCTGTTGTTTGTGCGTCTTGCTGTTGATTCAATTCATGAGCTCCGTTCCAGGAGAATGAACCGTTTGTGAGAATTGAACTTGAAATGCCTTATCTAATCATCTTGCGAACTCTTTTGTCTGCATTACTGACCCTAATTCACTATGGAATCTGCAGACTCGATTAGCCCGGCTGATGTGGGGATGAAAGAGGAAACTTCAGATGATGATCGAGGACATGGCATATTCGGGCTTCAACGCCTCAGTAGGGTTGCTAAGTGGTCTCAGCCAATAACATACACAGACGTTTATGAATGCGATAGTTTTACGGTATACTTCACCTTCCTATGTGAATGATGAACGTGTTGAGCTAACATTACAACTCACTGGCTGTGGTGGTTGTTTGAAGTAACATTCAATCTAATTGGACATAGATGATCTAGATTTTGTGTGTTAAAGTTTGATGCGAGACATTTATCTATGATTGCAGATATGTATATTCTGCTTTCCTACCTCTTCTGTTATTCCACTTCATGATCACCCTGGCATGACTGTGTTCAGCAAAGTTCTCTATGGCTCCCTCCATGTCAAAGCTTATGACTGGGTTGAGCCAGCTGTTCTCTCGAAAAACAAGGATGGTTTTCCTTCAGGTTCTACATTTCTTACCCTCTGTTCTACTTCTTTCCCATGATGCTCCGATTGTTTTAGAAAAGCATGACCCTCTCTTGAAGTGGGTACAGAATGTGAAACTTCGTTGGAATTGATTGAGTTTAGTGTCCAAGTTTGTTGATCAAAAAGGAGAATTTCATGGTTAAGGTCTCATATTCTTGTTAGATCAATTTGAGGTTGTGTCTCCTACTGTGGAGCAATGAAGCAAGGTAGTGAGGCGCTGCAAGTTTGTACATATAACATCAAAATAGCTGGGAAAGTCAATTACACATTCAGGAACATAAAATTTAAGTGTAGTAGCAAATCTCCTGATAAAGGTGCTGACTTTACAACTATTTCCTCCATAAAAATGTCGCTTGTGGTCTGTGGTGGTGCATTTAAATGCAGGCTCCTGGCCTGCTTTCTTGATTTCTCTTTGCCTCTGAAGCATTAAATCATAACTCTCAAGGAGTAAGATTATCTTTAGTACAGGGCTCATCAATTGGATACTTCCCCTCTTTTTGCTTTTGAATGGTGTGAAATGCTAATTATTGCTGGTAGACTATTGGAATCGAGGAAAAGGCAGACCTAAACTGGCTAAGCCTTGCCCTTGCTCTGGTATTTTGTGTTAAATAATAGGAGCACCCCTGACTAGATGTTTCACTTTTCACACTTCGACAGAAAGGCTAGCAAAGTTTGCTGTTGACAAAGTTCTGACTGCTCCTTGTGGAACATCAGTCTTGTACCCGAATGCTGGGGGGAATCTGCATTGCTTTACTGCGTTAACCCCTTGTGCAGTCCTCGATATTCTCACACCTACTTACAACGAACAAGCTGGAAGAAAGTGTACATATTACCATGACTACCCAGACTCCACGTTGTGTAAGTAGCTCCTTTTCTTCTTCTTCGTCTAGTTACATGTATATGTTTGAACTTTGAACTAAGAGAAATAGACTTAATATATATAAATCCTGCAGCAGCAAGTGGGGCTGAGGTTAAAGATGGGGGAACAGACGAATATGCATGGCTTTCAGAGATAGAGACACCAGAGGATCTCTATATGCGCCCTGGACAATACACTGGCCCTGCTATTCGCGAGTAGTTAGACATCTGTAGTGATGAATAAAGCCGTTTTCTTCTCTTAATGTTCATGGTTTCTAGGATGGCACGATTGCTTACCGGGGAACTTACTATAAAAGGTAACTGAGGTCTTGACTTGTGTTGTTCCGGATGCATCTGTCAAGCAGAAGATTGCTCCTTGTATGGAAGTGAACCATGTTGATTGAAACTGGCTGTTTTAGCTTCCTATGGTAGTTCAAGGTTGTCAACGGGCTCCGGTTACCCAATCCTAATAGTAGTACATCTCAATATGATGACGGCGTGTCAGCTTGTTTCTGGTGGTACTATAGATAGCTGAAAATGTTACTCAAGTTTCTCACTTATCTCAGTCATATATTGTTCACAAGCAAACCAGCTTTCTTTTAATTCACTCAGAGAAATGGAGGGACGAGATCCCAGCAATACAATAGGGCGTAGCTTTGCCAGTGCCATGGATGTTGAACACCAAATCCATGTAAATGCAAACTTTATTGTTAATAACCAAGCATCTGTTCATCTGTAATCAATTAGGTAACAACAAAAGTACAAAAATTGAAATTTTTAGTGCCTAATTACGCGACTCTTTCTGCTGCTTTGCCATGTACCTCGACTCCTTTCTTGTAAAAGAAGGTAGATCTACAGATTTTCTGCTACAACGTCCCAATTCACCAATTTAACTCAAATTATGTTTCATTTCATTCCACCTTTCCCTTCTCTTCTCCTATGGGGATCGGAAGGCTTCACCAGCATAGCGCACATTTCCTAGTTCCTCTTCAATCCGCAGCAGCTGTAGTACAAAGAGAACCAGCCAACAGTTAAGAAGTTGAACTGAACAAATTAGTAAACAGAAAACCAAGGTTAACAGAGAAATGATATCAGGAAGAAAAAAAACCCATTCGCTAGTCTTTGAATGACTGTTAAGCACTCTTAAGCATCCTATGTGTGACAAAATGATGGGTCAATTCTTAATAGCATAATCGCAATCTTCTCACGAGTTCAATTCTTAATAGTAAAATTATCCTTTTCAACTAGTGTGATAAGAGGTAGCAGATACAGAGTGAGATTTAACCTGATTGTATTTGGCCAATCGCTCACTTCTGCAAGGAGCTCCAGTTTTAATCTACAAAAACAAGGGCAAAAAGAAAAGAAAGCCGGGTCAATCAACATAGAATGATATGTAGCAAAAGACAAATTTCCAAAAGCTTTAGCAGTAGGAACCTGTCCACTGGCCAGTCCAACAGAAAGATCAGCAATGAAATTATCTTCAGTTTCACCACTTCGGTGGCTAACCATCACTCCCCATCCTGCAGCTTTCGAGTCAAGTGCTGCTTTAATGGATTCTGTCACCGTGCCAATCTGGTTCACCTGCAGTTTAATTGAAGTATAATTAGTGAAACTCTTTTTATGCACTAGACTAGTATCGCATATGGAAGAGAGTAAAACAAAGAAAAACTTCTAGGCCGCTTGCCTTGAGAAGCAAACCATTGCAGGACTTCTTGCCAATAGCTTCAGCTATTCTAGTGGGATTTGTGACCAACAAATCATCTCCCACAAGTTGGATATCCACAGAAGACTGCAGAGACGCCCAAGAGTTCCAGTCATCCTGGTCAAATGGATCTTCAATGGAGACAATAGGGAAATCCTTGATAAATTCCCTGTAAAGGTCTCCAAGGCTCTGAGCTGCAAGCACGTGAGCTCCATCATTCGGTTGGTTCTTGAAGTTCAAGTCGTATCTTCCATCCTTGGTAAAAAATTCTGAAGCAGCAACATCCATTCCGATTTTGATCTGGCATAAGGTTTTCAGAGTAAGACAATGCAGTATAAAATGACGGAGGATCACAGGGGGTACGACAATTAGAGGAGAGAAGCTAGCTAAGGAATTCATACCTTTCCTGTATAACCAGCCTTGTCAATAGCATCCATGAGAAGCACCAGCCCTTCCCTATTGTCTTGTACATTAGGAGCAAACCCACCTTCATCACCAACATTGCAAGCATCCTGTCCATACTTCGATTTGATAATCCCCTTGAGTGTATGGTAAACTGAACATCAAGATGCAGAACGTTAAGATCCTAAAACCCTAAGCTGCACAAGTCTAAACTAAGAATTAAATATAGGTAGCTGACCTTCACTGCCCATACGGAGGGCCTCGGCGAAAGAACCAGCCCCAACAGGCAAAATCATGAACTCCTGCATAGCTAGTGCATTTCCAGCATGGCTGCCTCCATTGATGACATTGAAAGCCGGGACGGGCATAACCAGCTCTTTCGTCCCTGCCAATTCCTGGATGTGCTTGTACAATGGCACTCTCTTGGCACCTGCCCCAGCTCTGCACACACTGAGGGAGACTCCCAGTATGGCGTTCGCCCCAAGTTGCGACTTGTTTGGGGTTCCATCAATCTCCAGCATCAGAGCATCTACATCCGCTTGACTTCTGGTAACTCAAGTGAACGGAAACCCCATTAGAAGCACGCAATACATAGGATTGGCAGCAGCTGGTATGGCAATTTTTAGTTTTTCTTCCTTGTAATTTTACAGCAAGCTTACAAACTGGTCAACTTCTTGAACGGTCTATTCCGCGAGAGAGCCAAAATGCGGCTCGAATGGTTCATTTTCAATCGGGTAATAAAACAAAATGGAAACCCAGTACATAATCAGCGATATTTACCTAACATCAACGCCGACGAGCTTAGGGCCGAGAATATCATTAATGTTGGCAACAGCAGTGAGGACGCCTTTACCGGCGTAGACGGACTTGTCCCCGTCGCGAAGCTCGAGAGCCTCGTAGATCCCGGTGGAGGCGCCGCTGGGGACGGCGGATCGGAAGAGGTGGCCGTCGCCGGTGAAGAGATCGACCTCGACGGTGGGGTTGCCACGGCTGTCGATGATCTGCCGGGCCTTGACGGACTTGACCTGGCAGTCCTGGGCGACCTTGGCGGCGGGGGCGACGGCGGCGACGGAGTTGCGGACGGAGAAGGCCCGGGGCTTGATGGGGAGGGAAGAGGAAGAGCTGGGTTTGGAGGTGAAGAAGGAGGTGTTGAGAATGGTGGTGGTGGCTGCTGGGCTGGCCGCGAACGCCATTTCTTGGGTTGGTTGGTCGGGAAGTGGGAGGTTTGAATTGGGGGGGTGGGACTGCTGCTAACTATAACGGGGGGCTGCGTCGGGGAATCCGCCAAATGGGCGATCAGTGCGAAGAGAATAAATGGTGCGGAGGGTTTGGGGGTTGGTAGCTGGTTTCTTTTGTTTTGTTTGGGGAGCACGTTGTTGAAGAAGGGAAAGGGGGCGGGCGGAGAGGTGAAGCTGCGGTGCGGACTCGCCCAAGTAATGGTTGACTTCACTGCCTCTACCTGGCAATGTTTCTCCAAGTTGGGCCCCGGCGCTTTTCTCGATTTGGCGGGTCCCTACCCGGCCTAGGTTACTCACCAATGACTAACCAAATTTCAATTATAAGAGTTAATGAGTACAGAAAATTCAGATCTAAGCGTGAAGAATTAAAATTATTTTATTTTTTTCTAATCGGCTCTTATTTTCATCGTTCTAATTATGATTTCAATTTTTTTTGCACAGATGGAACGAGTTCGTTGTGGTCTACAAAATTAGATCAATTTTCAATACTTTTTTGAGAAATTTTTTTTCATACCTTGCATTACCAACTCCATACCATATAATAACTTCTTCGTTTTAAGTTATTTTTTAAAACGTTTGCTTAGAAAGAATGAGTTCATCATGATCTATTTGGATCTACAAGTTTCTGGGTAAAAATAAATACAGGACAAAAAATTACCATATTTTACCACCCTAGTATGAGGTGGTAACTTGTGGTAAACAATGATGAAAATTGTAAATGACAGTTAATATACTCCTACTATCATGTATTTAAACTTCCTACAGTCTTGATATGTTCATACCATCATGGTACGCTTTCTTACCATATGGTATGCTTGACTCGCTTCTACCGTCACTCTAGAAAATGGCCAAGTGTAACCACCTACTAGAGCATAGTATAGCGGGTTTGGGTTTTAATGTCAACCCGGGTCCTAAGTGTGATGACTACTCCATGAATTCTTATTATTTAGCAATGAAAGTGTAGTGAAGGTCCAAGTAAACAAGCAAGCAAAACAATAAAAGGTTGTTTTCAAGTTGAGAGAGGTCACCCGGATATGGTTCCCCCTAGAATGTAGTTATGCCAGATTGTAATTTGCCAAGTTCAAATTCAAAGTTAGTTATACTGCGGGAGGTTCTTAACCAGTCTGCAGTCTCGACTAAAGGTCTCAAGACCCTCTCAATCTGAGTCCCCATCGGGCGACTAACCTCCACCGGAGTAAACAGATTGAGGCCCTAACGAACCAAACCTCCACTACCGAAGTAAATCCGGTACAGAACAGTGAATTGACTCCTCGACTAAAGTCGTCAATTCACTACCTTCAATCAAGGATGTTCTATCAACCTAGGCAGATATTCTCTTTCTAGGTCAAAGCAGAAACAACAGGAATTTGATCAGGATTCATGTCATTCAACAAATCAGACCTCAATTGAATATAATCAAATCAATGGATTCATACTCGAGTTCATACAATCAGACCTAACATACAAATATAGGGTTCTTCATATCCAGGTGAATGTGGAAGTTACTCCATGGAGAGAGAAGCAAACTCTAGCACAAAAGCAGAAATCATGCTGGGAAGAATGGGGTTCTGCTTCTGGGCGGCAATCGGCACTCCTCCAAGCGTTGTCCGAGCTCCACTGATGATGAAGATCGATCTAAGGCGCTTGGGAACTCTGGTTCGTCGCTCTCTCTCTCTCTCTCTCTCTAGGTATCACTTTCTTTCTCTAAAACTCGGAACCCCTTCACAATTGGCCTTCTTTCCCTTAAAATCCATCTGCTCGCGATCCCCGGCCATAATCCCCGGTCGGGTATTTCAGGTGCCCGGCCGGGGATTTCGAAACGCAGCGCATCGGTGACGCCTTTAATACCCGATCGAGGTCAAGAATACCTGATCGGGTATTTTTGCTCTTTGGCCGGGACCTATTCTGTTTCTCAACGTCCAAAAGCGTTTTTCCCCGGCCTCCATGGAATTTTACCCGGCCGGGTATTTTTTATCATGGCCGGGTATTTTGCTCCTCCAGCACCCTTCAACTCAAATGTCCTCCTTTTGACCCGAAACTTGCTTCTTCGCCTCAACGTCAACGCCAAGCCCTGAAATATGACATAAATGTACAACCTAGCGTGAAATCGACTTAAAACACGAGAATCAACATCTCTAACGGCTCAAGAATAGGGGTAAAAACATGTGCAATCAATGGTCTATCAAATTCCCCCACACTTAACCGTTTGCTTGTCCCCAAGCAAACCTAACTCAAACCAATGCAACTCTCCAAACCTCTATAGAAACAAACAACCCCGATCGTCGGTAGAGGATTTCCTAGATCATATAGCAACTTACGAGGTCAACTGGTCTTCTAAGACGTTCCCTATCTCTCTCAATGCGAGTACTAGACTCAAGTCAGGATCATGAGAAGAAGTGGAAGTAAGACAGCCAGTTCATGGATAAAGGGACTCACACCATTCACAACCAAGGACTCATTGTACCGAGGTGCTCTTTCACTTCATTTCATCGTTGGAACCCCTTTTTTCACTTTCATTTTATATTTCTTTTTTTTTCATTCACTTGGCAGGGGTTCCAACTGCAGTATTTTGCACGGTCGACCCTTATTAGTCGAGCAAGAGAAATTTCTGTATATCTGGCGTTCGCCAGAGTACTTCTTTTAACTCCTTTTCCTCAACTCGTGTGGAGGGTCAATGAAATTAAGGGGGTCGAAAGCTCTATCTGTGCCCTTAAAAACACATCCTCGAGTAGACAAACCGTTCAACGGGTGAAAATTTTACTTGTACTAGAGACAGCTTATCTTCACCTTGTAGGAGTAGCCCACTAAGGATCACTAAAATTGTAGAAATGTGTGATAGCTTTGTACATATTATTATTTTGAAGGACCATTTCGTATTTGTGCATGCTAACCCTAATGCTCACGTTGAGTATAAAAGGGAAGTGGTGCGGCTTAGGTTGATTAAGAGAGAGAGTTGTATACAGCAAATAAGCTGTGGCTAATAAGATTGACTCAAGCTTCGGCTCACCGTGGAGTAGTCTCGTTCATTCTGAACGGGGAAACCACGTATATCATTGTGTTGTGCTTCCGCGTTTTACTCTATTTTACATTGTATCAGAGCAATAGTCGATTCATACCTAGAAGATCGAGATGTCTGGCGAGGATGATAAGAATGGTAAGGGCGGTACGTCAATGATCGCCGACGTAATACCCCTCACGTCGCCTCTGTATCTCCATCCGTTAGAAAATCCGGGCCAGCTGTTCGGAAGTGATTTGCTCACAGACTTGAATTATAGCGAATGGGTTAGTGACATGACTGAAACCCTAATCGCGAAGAACAAGATGGCTTTTGTCGATGGGTCTCTACCTCGTTCAAAAGCTGGCATTGGGATCTTTGATGAAGCATGGGGGCACTGCGATGCTACCGTCAAGGGATGGCTCAAGACGACCATGAGCAAAGAGGTATGGAATAGCGTACGGGGTGCGAAGACAGCGTGTGATATTTGGGCTGATTTGAAGCACCAGTTCTGCCACGCGCGCTTATGAGTTCCGAGGGAAGATAAGCTCCTTTCGGCAGGACAAGCTTATCGTGTCAGCCTTCTACACTACCCTGCGCACTTACTGGAATGAATTGCAGGCAGTTAGCATAAATCCACGTTGCTCATGCGGGTCTTTTGCATGTGACGTAGCTCAGCAAGTGCGTAGCAAGGAGGATGATGAACACATGTTTGATTTCTTACTTGGTCTTGATGATGCCTTCTTGGTGGTGCGTACTCAAATTCTCAGCATGAAGCCTGTGCCGACTCTCGCCGAGGCTTACCAGCTAGTGGCTGCTGAAGAGCAGCAGCGGCAGATCACGGGGGCGCGACATCCACCTGTGGAGGCAGCAGCTTTCCAAGTCCATAAGGAAAGCGATGTCGATGACGAAAGCCCGCGCTGCTCACACTGTAACAAATTGGGTCACACAAAGGAAACATGTTTTAAGCTCATTGGTTATCCTGGGGATCAACGCAAGGGCAAGCAGGGTAGCCGTGGTGATCGACCGTGAGATCGTAGCTTCAGCGGGTCTCGCAAGCAAAGGGGAGAAGGGAAATCTCATCCTCGTGCAGCCAATGTAGACACCGAGGACAGTCCAATCCCAGGTTTCTCAGCCGATCAACTTGCACGACTCAAGGAGTTTTTCTCGGCCCCTCTACCGTCTCACAACGAACTGACAGCTCACATGGCTGGTAACAATCCTGAACCCTATGATTGGATTATCGATTCTGGTTGCAACGAACATATAGTTCGGGATTCGAGTTGGTTATAAACTGTAGATGCTACAGGACAATTTCCTCCCGTTCAGATACCGAACGGTGCGAGTATTCCGGTGACAGGTGTTGGTACACTTAATCTGAATGGTTGCCTTAAGCTGGATCGAGTGCTACATGTTCCACAATTTCGTTGTAACTTGCTCTCTGTTAGTCGCTTAACCAAGGACAATGACGTCGCTTTACTCTTTTTGGGTAATGTTTGTGTCCTTCAGGACTTACGCTCCAGGACCTTGATTGGACTGGGCCAGCTCCGTGACGGTCTATACTATCTCCGCCGTATTGAGGACTTCAAGGCTACTGGTGGAGGAATTCCTTCTGCTTTTGTGGTGGCTGGGAAGCAGTCTGTGGAGCTTTGGCATGCCCGTCTGGGGCATCCATCGATAGCAAAGTTATCTTTCTTACGTGTTCCTTTACGGATTTCGGATTTGAATCTTGAACATCGTCATTGTGATTCTTGCCTGCGTGCCAAGCAGACTAAAGCGCCTTTTGTTACGCATTCTATTCGCACTCATGCTTGTTTCGAATTGGTGCACATGGATATTTGGGGTGGTTATCGTACCCCTTCTATGGATGGTTCACGTTATTTTTTAACTGTGGTGGACGATTATAGCAGAACCACATGGGTTTACTTGCTCAAATACAAGTCAAACGTCGAACGTCATGTCCGATTTTTTTGTCAAATGGTCGAGACTCAGTTCAGTTCTAAAGTCCACAGGATCCAAGCCGACAATGGGTTGGAATTTCAGACCCGCACTCTACGGGAATATTATGAAGCTCATGGAATTCATTTCCAAACCAGCTGTGTCGACACGCCTCAGCAGAACGGCGTGGTTGAACGCAAACACCGGCACCTGCTCGAAACGGCTCGTGCACTTCGTTTCCACT